TTATTCTGAGCTTTTGCTTTCTTTATGTTTTCCCCATGTTTGTCTATATTTAAAGGGATTCTATAGTTTAAGGAATAAAACGTTGCATTCACTGCACTATAGTGCCCTATAGTGTCCTATGTGGATTTCTCTATCATTAGTCAGTGTCAGGCGACAAAGATCCATTAGAATCCAGGAAGTGCTTCTAGTGGCTGTCTGATTTGAGAACCAATCAGCTGCCCCTACCCCCCTCCTCATAATTTGTTTTTGGGGGCTTAAGAAAGACCACCTACCTAACAGGGGGAACTGAGTGTTTAATAATATATATGTAAATTTGGAGCAATTCAGAATTTGCCATTTGATAAATATCTAAATTCCTAAGCTTTACATCTATGAAATAATTCTGATGTGCAAATGCAATTTGTGAAAAATAGTTAACTTGCCCCATAAATGCATTTAGGGAACATGTAAAGTGGAATTTTCTGTCAAATTTGATGTGATTTTCCAATCAATATCAACTAATCTTTCTAGTTCTTCAGTCCGATTATCCACTCTCTAGAAACCACAGACGTCGTTATTGAATGTGTTTCTTGTTACATACAGCCTACCTTAAAGGAACACAACATGTATTCCTGACACTATAGTTTTCAAAGCACCTTTTAGGTGATCTGACCCCTCTCCTGCCTTTAAAAGGTGATTTTACTTACCTTTATTGCAGCTAGTCTTGTGGCGAATAGCCCTGCCCTGCTCTGCCTTCTTGCAATGATCATCAAACCTGACGATCCAAAACTTTGAGAAAATTTCCACAGTGGACTGAAAAGTTGACACATTTTGTGGTGTATGATTGTACAAAAATTATCTAGAATGCCCTGTGTATGCATCATCCTTAATGTTTGTATTTTGGCATAAGTAATTTTCAAAGACGAGACCGGGAGAGTGAGGGCTGGCTGGATTCACGTGTATATAAATATGAAAAATTAATATTAAGAAATGGGAGTAGGTTTTCTTAATATTCATTTCTTATTTTATTATTTTTCCTTTCACATCTCTCTTGTAGATATTGTTCTGTTTCACACACATGATATTCAAAATCACTACTGCACTATACTTATTGCTAACCTCTCCCAGTTTACCTTTATCTTGTACATAGTCTGTTTGCATCAACACTTACCATACCACCAGGGGTTAATTTGGCTCAATGACATTTTTTGAATATGCATACGTCATTGATGACACAATGATAATCTCGTTTTCACTGTGTTCATCTTCCTATTAGCACATCGCAGCACGATATTTAAATGGTTAGGTTAAACTTTGTAATTGTCTTAATAAAAGACCTTCGAGTGCACTCTTTTCGGAAATATATGTGTTATTCTATGTGTATATTTATGTATTATTGTACCTAATTATGTGATTTTATTAATTACAATTTGACAACCTCAGGCAGAAAGTCCAAACAATTTAATTTGCAAGCCCTATATTTAACCCTGTAACTTTCCAAAACACCATAAGAACTGTACATTAAAGGGGTATTGTTGTACTTGTAAGACTAGTGTTTTAAAACAGTAAAACTTATAATGACCATGATATCATCAGTGAAAGTGCAGTTTTTGCGTGAAAAGCGCAAAAATAAAATTATGAACACAACTTTGGCCAGGGTTTGTGACGATGTGGCTACTAAAAAGACTGAACATACCATATTTTGAATACCTTAGGTTGTCTACTTTTGGTATGCCATAATGGGGTTAATTTTCATTGCCATACGTTTTCAAAGGCAACATCGCCCCAGCACACCAATCTGGCAAACTGAAATAGGGAAGCACTGTATTTGTCCCTGTAACTTTCCAAAATATTGTAAAACCTGTACATGGGGGTGCTTTTGTCCTCTGGAAACAGTACAACTTAAAATGTCGATAATATCATCAGTGAAAGTGCAGTTTTTGTGTAAAATTACAAAAGTATAATATGAACACTAACTTTGGCTAGGGGTTGTGACTAAGTGGCTACTAAAAATGTCTGGACATACCCCATTTTTAATACCTTGGGTTGTTTATGTTTGCAAATGGTATGCCATGATGGGGGGTAATTCTCATTCCTGGGCTGCCATATGGTGTCAAAGGTAACATAACCAATCTGGCAAATGTCAGCGTGTAAAAACTGAAATTAAGCAAGCCTCATGTTTGACCCTTTAACTTTCCAAAACACCATAAAACATGTACATGGGGTGTACTGTTGCACTCGTGAGATATTGCTGAACACAAATATGAGTGCTTTAAAGCAGTAAAATGTATAACATTTGTTTAGTGAAAAATGTAAAAAACAGATATCAACACTGGCTTTGGCTTTGTGACTAGGTTGCTACTAAAAAAAGATATACCCCATTTTAAAAATCCTGGGTTGTCTACTTTTGAAAATAGCATGCCATTGTGGGGTTAATTTTCATTTCTGGGTTGCCATGTGGTATTGAAGGCACTCTAGGTCCAGCAAACCAATCTGGCAAATTTCAATGTGTAAAAACTGAAAAGGGGAAAGCCCTATATCCGACCCTGTAACTTTGCAAAACCCCATAAAACTTGTTTGTGGGAGAGAGGGGGCACTGTTGTACTCATGAGACACCACTGAATATAAAATTGTCCATTTTACTGTATTAAAAACTAACAGTATTATGACATTCACAGTTACAATGCCATGCAGAACTAAGAATTAACAAATTAAGAAAATAACACAATTTCTTAATTTCTCAAATTTGTTTTAGATTGTATTCATATTAAATTATGTTTCATATATAAATATTTATACAAAAGGATAAGTCCTGCGCTCACTCCCATCACTCCTGGGCGGCAGCAACGACCACAGTACACATCAGCCCCAATGTTTATGTTTGCAAATGGTATGCCATGATGGGGGGTAATTCTCATTCCTGGGCTGCCATATGGTGTCAAAGGTAACATAACCAATCTGGCAAATGTCAGCGTGTAAAAACTGAAATTAAGCAAGCCTCATGTTTGACCCTTTAACTTTCCAAAACACCATAAAACATGTACATGGGGTGTACTGTTGCACTCGTGAGATATTGCTGAACACAAATATGAGTGCTTTAAAGCAGTAAAATGTATAACATTTGTTTAGTGAAAAATGTAAAAAACAGATATCAACACTGGCTTTGGCTTTGTGACTAGGTTGCTACTAAAAAAAGATATACCCCATTTTAAAAATCCTGGGTTGTCTACTTTTGAAAATAGCATGCCATTGTGGGGTTAATTTTCATTTCTGGGTTGCCATGTGGTATTGAAGGCACTCTAGGTCCAGCAAACCAATCTGGCAAATTTCAATGTGTAAAAACTGAAAAGGGGAAAGCCCTATATCCGACCCTGTAACTTTGCAAAACCCCATAAAACTTGTTTGTGGGAGAGAGGGGGCACTGTTGTACTCATGAGACACCACTGAATATAAAATTGTCCATTTTACTGTATTAAAAACTAACAGTATTATGACATTCACAGTTACAATGCCATGCAGAACTAAGAATTAACAAATTAAGAAAATAACACAATTTCTTAATTTCTCAAATTTGTTTTAGATTGTATTCATATTAAATTATGTTTCATATATAAATATTTATACAAAAGGATAAGTCCTGCGCTCACTCCCATCACTCCTGGGCGGCAGCAACGACCACAGTACACATCAGCCCCAATATATGTTCGCGTGCTATAAACATGGAAGTGCCCTCTAGTAGACAGCCACTAGAGGGCACTTCCATGTTTATAGAAGTGCCCTCTAGTCTAGTAGACAGCCACTAGACAGCCACTAGAGGAGGACTTAACCCTTCAAGGTAAATATTGCCATTTATGAAAACTGCAATAATTACACTTGCAGGGTTAAGGGTAGTGGGAGTTGGCACCCAGACCACTCCAATGGGCAGAAGCGGTCTGGGTGCCTGGAGTGTCCCTTTAATATGAAAGAGGCAAATTATGGATGAACAGACATATAGCTCAAATTCTAGGGTTTGTTTACATTTTGTTTTGATCAGGACGTGTACAATTGCCTCTGTCCTTAAGGTGTTAATTTCAATTGTACTGAGCAAAGTGGGTGTACAGTGAGCACAAAGCTATAAGAGAATCTACAGGTCCAAAATAATGATTTTTTGACGTTCTCTTTAACTCAATAGCAGTTTCTAACTTCTGTAGTGTTACAAGCAGAAAACAATTTTGAATTGTGGTAACTATCACACATAACTATCTTAAGGTCAAAAAATATTTTTAATCACATATTGATACTAGATTGTAATTTAACCATAAATTGTGTTAGTTATTACACAGCGGGTGATTGTATTTTTAGGTGAGAGATCAATTCTGTACTCTTCTCTATGGCAACTAAAAATCCAAGCACTCCTTGATTTTATTTCCAATTAGCTGCACACCTTTTATGTGTGCTATTGTTGAGTAATTACTGTGATGTCATTATTTTATCATATCATTTTTTATCTTTTTTTTATTTCTTTTTTTGTGCTGTAATTATAGTGAATTGTATACATATACGTTGAATAAGTGTGTACGTGTGCATTCTCTGCATGCATAACGCCACAGTAATGATACATTCGTTATTTATTTGATTCTCTATCTCTGTAAGACACACCCCCCATTGCCCTATGTGCAGCTTTACAATTAGCAGCTGGACTAGATGCTGTTACGCTAGATTCCAGTTTATCAGGTAAGAACTTGGTGGATCTGGCTTACAAGTTCACAGAAATCTTAACCTAGGGTGGAGACTGACCCACATGATGAGGTATAGAATATGTATATATACTCAGATGCTCAGTGTCCACAATCACAGCTAATAGACACTATTGTCTGTCTGTGTCTGTGCCTACAAAGTGACACTTTGTTCCTTCCATCCTTTGGTTGCTATACTTTTTCATTCTGTTCTACCAGTGCTCTTTTAGAGATACCAGGGCTTAAACCCATACAGTGCTATCATCATATTGAGGCTCCTGTTTAGATTTATTCATCCATACAAAAATGACTCCAAAGGTAAGTAGTATGATGTTAATACTAAGGGGGTATGTGTGAAACGTCTGAAAAATGTCTCGTAAAAATGAAATGCGTGGGATTTTTAAAAATTTATAATATTAGTTCCGTTTAATTGTTCTTGCTCGCACTTTTATAGCAAAAAATTATTGCACTGAGAACAATTACAATGAAAATAATTGCACTTCTGTAATATAATAAAATATAACATGCGTAAAAATATAGCAATATAGCATGTTCAATGAATACCATTAAATTGATTTTAAAGTGATGAAGATATTTTTGCAAATTAAAAATGTATCAAAAACTCTTTTTTGATTAATAAAATTACTACTAGCGCTAATTGCTAGTACTTTATCAGGACATGCCTTGTTAAATGAAATGCAAGTTGATACAGTAATGTGGCTTTTTTTAACATTCTATTTCTTGAAAATGAAATTGCTATGTGCATTTATTCAGTACTTTTCACAGTAGTGCAATTATACTCATGATTTTAAATGTTATACCTAAAATGAAATCCACTACAAAAGTCTCACCTACCTTGTTACTGTTCTTCTTCTTCTTCTGTGGTGTCCTTGCTTTTTCACAAACTCAGGAGAGCAGGCATTCAGTAACCCCAGTAAAGTCCTCTAATGATTGATGTTCTCATTGCCTTTTCTACCTTACTTTGTCCTTGATATGGGTACAACTTGAGTTATTCGTATTGTATCATTGCTTCTGATTGATTTACAAGTGAGATCTTCATACATCATAAAACAAGTTAAAACTTGTAGTTTCTTAGAGATTGCAAATAGTTGACCCAAACATTCACGATTCCCAACCAGAAATGTGTTTCATTTTCAAATGTTTAATTTTATATGCCCCATAGTGGTTGTATTTTCTTTTTCTAAATGTACCAGTTTAGTCATTTTGTGACCGAAGGACTAGTATTGTATGTGGTCTGTTATGTAACAATAGTAGTAATAAAACAAATTGCATGTCCCACATTTTCTCTATAAATAATATTTGATGTGTTCTTTGTATCCATCTCTTCGTCCCATTTCTTCTCACTCATGACATGGCCTACAAACCTTTATATATCTCTACTATCACCTGCAGGAACCTCCAGATGTCTACAGTATTGAACTTGATAATACAGAACCCAAACCAGAAGAAAAGAAGAGAAGATTTTATAACAGAAAAGGAAAATCTGGGAAAAAGGTGGAAAACCTGAAAAAAGAACTGCTGATTGTAAGTGTTAACGAAGGGGAAAGAGCGAGCAATTAAGACAATGCATGTTTACAAACATTTATAGTGGTGGTGGGTATCTGATGAAAACATTAAATATTTCAGAAGGTGCTAAGGAAAGTGGAAAAGTCCAAGGAAGTATTTGAATAGCAGGTTATTATTTAGCAGATACATTTTAAGTAGAGATCTGGACAAAATATATTTATATGAGTAGTGGTCAAAAAAAAGATCTCCAATCATTATTGAAGTGTATTATCCCTGAGGGTCAGAAAACTGAAAGCAGATAATAAATTATAACATATGTAATGTTTCACTCGATTGTGTGGTGGTGAGGAATGAAAGATAGAGGGCAAAACAGACAGACTGTGGACAGTGGACATTCAGAAGGTTTGAAATTTAAAACTTATGATGATTAGACATAATTTAAGATTAGGAAGTGGTGTGGGTCAATATATCTGTGTAGGTGAAATGGCTGAACATATGCAAAAAGAAAGGGGAGCGTATGTTTTGCCTCCCATCGACATCGTCAGCATTGGACATGAGGATGGAAAGGAAGGGGCATAAAAGGAGAATCCTGAGATTAAACTATAACATTGTGCTTTATGTATTTCATAGACGGATCACAGTTTAACAGTTGAAGATCTGGAAAAGAAATACTCAGTAAATATTAAGCAGGTAAATTACTCACAGATGACAACATCCAAAACTCGCAACGTCTTATTGCTACTCCTTCAATGCAATCCCAAGTAATGTAGCATACAATAATTATGCCCTGCCAGAGAGACATGATATACCACATGATCTTCATGCCTATTGCTCAAAAATTTAGTGTCAACATGGGACCATGATGTACAAGTAAGCTCATAGATAACAGGAAAATAGTTGAGTTGTGTTATTCTTATGACCCAACGAAATCATAAGTAATTCAAAAGTAATGCAAGATTTTCATTCCTTTCCATAAACTATAGAAATTCTTAGTACCATGGCTCATTATATGTTCAATTTATTTGTTTATTTCATGCCAAATACCTGAGATTGACATTATAAAGTTACCCCCTTATAACATGTTGACTTCTCTCCCTAAGACCCCGAGCACATATCAAAACACTATAGATATATAAAGTTTTTAAATGTGGCCATACATAAGAACGATTAATATTCCTTGTATCTGGTTTATTTGTAGGGTCTGAGCTCTGGCAACGCTGAGGATCTCCTCAAACAGAATGGACTCAACAAGCTTACTCCTCCAAAAGGAACCCCAGAAATTATAAAATTCCTTAAGCTGATGGCTGGTGGATTTTCCATTGTCTTCTGGATTGGAGCAATTTTGTGCTTCTTAGCTTATGGTCTCCAGGCTGCTCAGGATCCTACTGTGTCCAAGGATAATGTAAGAAATAAATCAACAAACATTCACTCCTTTTAGTATTTGACCCATAATTGCTGAATCAATTTACCGTATATACTCGAGTATAAGCCAAGTTTTTCGGCACATTTTTTGTGCTGAAAAACCCCAACTCGGCTTATACTCAAGTCAGTCTGTATTATGGCAATTTACATTGCCATACTACAGACCAGGACCGCCGGGCTCATTACAAGCCTGGCGGTCCTGTTGGGGGCTGACAGCGAGCTCTTACTTACCTTCCTGCAGCTCCTGTCAGCTCCCTCCCCCTCCGTGCAGCTCCTCGGTCAGCTCCGTTCTGCTCACAGTGTAAATCTCGTGAGAGCCGTGAGACTTACACTGTGAGCAGAACGGAGCTGACCGAAGAGTTGCACGGAGGAGGAGGGAGCTGACAGGAGCTGCAGGAAGGTAAGTAAGAGCTCACTGCCAGCCCCCCCACTGAACTGCCAATGCCACTGGACCACCAGGGATTTAATATTATTTTATTTTAATAATAATAAAATAATATTATTAAAATAATATTATTATATTATTATTATTTTAATATTTGCATTATTTTTTTTAAATGTTTTTTTGTCCCCCCTCCCTGCTTGTTGCCTGGCCAGGGAGGAGGGACAAAAAACTTTTTTTTTTAAATAATGCAAATATTAAAATAATAATAATATAATAATAAAATAATATTATTATTGTAATATTATATTATTTGAATATTATTTTATTATTATATTATTATTATTTTAATATTTGCATTATTTTATTTTTTTATTTTTTTGTCCCCTCTCCCTGCTTGTTGTCTGGCCAGGGAGGGGGGACAAAAAACATTTTAAAAAAAAGAATGCAAATATTAAAATAATAATAATATAATAATAAAATAATAGTATTATTTTAATATTATATTATTTTATTATTATTTTATTATTATATTATTATTATTTTAATATTTGTATTATTTTTAAAAAAATGTTTTTTTGTCCCCCCTCCCTGCTTGTCGTCTGGCCAGGGAGGGGGGACAAAAAACATTTTTTTAAAATAATGCAAATATTAAAATAATAATAATATTAAAATAATATAATATTAAAATAATAATAATATAATAATATAATAATAATATTAAAATAATATAATAAAATTAAAAAATAAAAATGCCCTCCCCTCATCCAGTTTACACACACTGCACAAACACACACTCTGCATTATATACACACTGCATTATACACACACACACACAACACACAAACACACACTGCATTCATTATATATACACACACAAACACACACTCTGCATTCATTATATACACACACAAACACACACTCTGCATTCATTCTATACACACACTGTAAATAAATATTCAATTAATGTAATTTTATTGGGATCTAATTTAATTCAGAAATTTACCAGTAGCTGCTGCATTTCCCACCCTAGGCTTATACTCTAGTCAATACGTTTTCCCAGTTTTTTGTGGTAAAATTAGGGGCCTCGGCTTATATTCGGGTCGGCTTATACTCGAGTATATACGGTACTTAATTTCAGCAGAATTTTCTCCATATATAACCCCATGTCTAAATATCACATACACAGAGTACTCTCTGTCTTCTTCTTGCTTGAATTCAAAACATGTTATCTAGATCGTTGTCTTTGAAGGCTGAGTATCACTACTTACTATGCAATTCAACGAAGTTTATGGTAAATAAGTGAAGGAATGACATGAATGCCTCCTTCTGGTTTGATATTACTCATATCCTTCTAGTCTATCAAGTGATATTATTTAATTCGACATAAATTTACTTTCCTTTTGCCACTCCGACCCTTATAACATCTAAACTCTCTTTCATCTCCAGTTATGGTTGGCCATTATCCTAATAGCTGTAGTGATTCTGACAGCTCTCTTCGCATATTATCAGGAAGCAAAAAGTACAAACATCATGGCTGGCTTCAAGAACATGGTGCCACAGGTGAGACACGTCACATTTAGTAGAAGGGAGGGATAGGATATGGGATAAACATCTAGTAGTTGTAACTCACTTTTCCTTGTTTGACCATAGCAAGCGTTGGTCCTTCGTGATGGGAAGCGTCTTGAGATAAATGCAGAGAAATTGGTGCTTGGAGATATTGTCTTTGTAAAAGGCGGAGACAAAATCCCTGCAGATCTACGCTTTTTGGAGGTCCACGGCTGCAAGGTGAGGATGAAAGTATAAAAAAAGAAGAAAGTATAGTTATTAATGACTGTCAATGCCTGATCACAACATTTTTAACCAGGAATGTACATGCCAAGTGCTTAATCTATATATTTTTTAAAGTTAAGTTCTAACCTTAAAGGACCACTCTAGGCACCCAGACCACTTCAGCTTAATGAAGTGGTCTGGGTGCCAGGTCCAGCTAGGCTTAACCCATTCTTTTATAAACATAGCAGTTTCAAAGAAACTGCTATGTTTATGAATGGGTTAAGCCTTCCCCCAAAGCCTCTAGTGGCTGTCTCATTGACAGCCGCTAGAGGCGCCTGCGTGCTTCTCACTGTGATTTTCACAGTGAGAGCACGCAAGCGTCCATAGGAAAGCATTGTAAATGCTTTCCTATGCGACTGGCTGAATGCGCGGAGGCGGAGAGGAGGAGGAGAGCTCACCCGGAGGCGGAGAGGAGGAGGAGAGCTCCCCGCCCAGCGCTGGAAAAAGGTACGTTTTAACCCTTTTCCTCTCCCCAGAGCCGGGCGGGAGGGGGACCCTGAGGGTGGGGGCACCCTCAGGGCACTATAGTGCCAGGAAAACAAGTATGTTTTCCTGGCACTATAGTGGTCCTTTAACATAAAAGGTATAAATGATGTAGTGCATCATGAAAAATATAGCTTGTATTATCTTAGAAATTTAAAAGGTTGTGTTTTCTACACAGAAAGATGGTGAATCCAGTCTATGAAAAGAAAATGTGAGAAACTGCCAATTAATGAAAATTCTAAGAAAACTCAGGGAGACACAGAAATGATTTATGTCTAGAGATATCAGACATCCATATGGATATATAGTTTCACTATTAGAAATATCTTATTATAACATAGTATGTTGTAGTGTGCTGTATAGATAGAAATCTAAGTATCTTCAATAAATACAATGGCATTTCCCTAAGACTCCTAATTTGCAATTTTGTTCAGCTAGAATTTCTGAAACTATCTGCTCATATCTGTAATAATATGTGTACAAGAAATAGTATATGTATATATTTTAAAGATTGTTAAATCCATATTTAAAAAATATAATGGTTTATTTTAGTATTCATTGCATCGGTGCAAATGTCACTTAGCCCTCTTTTCACTATGTAGGTTGATAACTCGTCACTGACAGGTGAATCAGAGCCACAACCTCGAAGTACAGAATGCACAGATGAAAATCCTCTGGAGACCAAGAACCTGGGATTTTATTCCACTACTTGCTTAGAGGGTACGTCTTACATGTTGGTAGCATGCTAGCGTGCAGAACCTTCCATATCGGTCTGTTTTTTGTCTGTCAAACTAAGTTATGTTATTATACCTTTTACTAAATCTATCCAGAGCTGTGCAATTTATCGGTGTTATATTAATAATTGACAATAGCTTGACTTACACAATATATGTGTCTTAGATTTAATTCTAAAGTCTGGTACTGAGACTATAACACTTGTTAACAGCATACAAGGTAACATTTTATTTTTAAATCTAGGTGCTGCTAAAGGAATTGTCATTAACACGGGTGACCAAACCGTGATCGGTCGTATTGCATCTTTAGCCTCCCAAGTTGGAAATCAGAAGACACCTATAGCCCTGGAGATTGAACACTTTGTAACAATGATCAGCGCCCTCGCTGTGTTTGTTGGAGGTGTCTTCTTTATCATTTCAATTGCCATGGGATACAGTGCCCTTAACGCTATCATATTCTGCATTGGCATTGTAGTGGCTTACGTTCCTGAGGGTCTACTATGCACTGTCACCGTGAGTATATTTCAATCCTCTTCTCCTCCTACAGTATGTTTTGATGATGTTCTATTATATCAATATACAGGAAAGAATGATCACATATCATGTATGTGTTGTTGCATTCATGCAATACAATGACACCAAAATATAGGGATTATCTGACGATACATGCTTACATTTGGTAAAATCTATCTCAACAGAATTGTTGGTTGCAAACCCTGAACCAGAGGGAAAGACCAGAGAATTATAAAGAGCAATAATTTTGCATCAAAATTCTCGAAGTGGGCCAGTTAGCATTTAGATGCCATTGGTTTCTCTGGTGATTGTTTCCATTCTTTAGGAATTTGTTCAGGAATAATTCTAAAGTTAAGTTCCACCAATGTATTTTTTATTTAAGTAATACATGGTTCTTTGTGTTATTAATTTTTGTAACATGTATCGTAGGTCTGCCTTTCACTCACTGCACTTCGTATGGCTAAGAAGAACTGTCTTGTGAAGAACTTGGAAGCTGTGGAAACTCTTGGCTCCACGTCAGTCATTTGCTCTGACAAGACCGGCACTCTGACGCAGAACCGAATGACTGTGGCGCACATGTGGTTTGACAACATGATCCACAATGCAGACACCAGTGAAGAACAGATAGGTTAGAACATACAAGATATCATGTCCATTTATACAGTACAACGAATATGCCAAATCTCACCTTAATGGAGTATAAATAAACATTCTATTGTTATATATGAATAATATGTAACATACAGCAATTCCTGTGTAATAGTTCTGTTTCATTTGCTGTGTGTGAGCTCCCTGTCAGTGTAACTCCTACCAGTCTTGGGCAGGCCAGATATGTGTCACATTGCCGCACTGAGAGTAAGGGTCGAACATTGCACGGTGTCAGTTAACTTGTGCAATATTGTTTTAATCGCATGGTATGATATCACCCACAGTGCGCTACAAGATATTTATACATATACTGTTATCATTATATTATTTTAACTTTCATTGGTAGCTGCCCCATTAATTCATCTCATCATTCATTAATGTTATGCCAGCATCATAGCAGGGCAGAGAGAAGCAAACTATAACTCTCTCAACAGCTCCTCTCCCGGTATGTCCGTAACAGGAGGGAGGTTCAATTAAGAACAGCATCATCAAATAGCAGGTGCTGCCCATGAGGAATCACACATGTCCTGCTGTTGCTTTCATAAGAATAAAGAAGCCCCCAGTCCTTATCATAATCCTAGAACTATCTCTAAACCTTGCCCTTGCTCTAATCCTTCCCCATTACTAACTCTAAACTTATTTCATTAATAAAAACATATATTATAAAAGTTGCAGAATTATTATGGGAAAATAATGTAATCTTGGGCAATTTGTGTACTTGTTGAGTCATATGTGTATTAATAACATTTATGTTTCTAGGTGAAATGTTTGATCAGAGCTCCCCCACATGGCAGTCACTGCTTACGATCGCCACTCTTTGCAACCGAGCAGAGTTCAATGGTGGTCAGGATGATGTGTCCATAAATAAGGTAAATACCCAACACAGCGCATGCTAACTGGATGGTGTTTTGTTGTTATGTTGTAACATTTTGAATCAAATTTGTATCTGCTACTTGTATCCTTGCAGAGAACCGTCAATGGAGATGCCTCTGAAGCAGCTATTTTAAAATTTACAGAGCACCTCTTGGGTAACGTTATGGAGGCAAGGCAAAGAAGTCGCAAAATTGTTGAGATTCCATTCAACTCAAGTAACAAGTACCAGGCAAGTGATGTCCATATATATAATGCTGCTGTTATCATAACTACTGCTAATAATAATAATATAAAAAATATTTATAAAGCAACAACATATTTGAGCAGCACCTTACTGTGCCTTACTCTCTTCACTCATACATTCTCATATATGTTTCTATGCTGTTATTTTTGCTCCTCTACATGCCCCTAAATAAAAGTATGTGGTACATGTACAACTAGTAATTCATGGTAATGTAAAGATGGCTCTCAGGAAGCCATCATCAAAAAGTTACAGATTAGTTTTGTTGTTTATTCTTTTATTATTAAAAAGGGAAAAAAACAGGCATTAAATACTTTGGAATTCACCATATCTTTAGACTGGTCAGTAGACATAAACTGTTTTAGAACCAAAATGTTAATGCTCATTTCTCACCCATTAACTCTGGTAGCCAAGCTTCATTGTTAATACACAATTCTATCTCAAATATTGACATGTCATAAATTCTACAGGTCTCCATTCATGAGCCAGAGGACTTCAAATTGAATGGGTATCTGCTGGTGATGAAGGGAGCACCAGAAAGGATACTGGAGAGATGTGAAACCATCATGATGAGCGGTCAGGAATGGCCACTGGATGAAGAAATGAAGGCTAACTTTCAAAAGGCGTATATGGCTCTGGGGAGTCTTGGAGAGAGGGTTCTAGGTAGGAAAAGGCATTTGAAGACATTGTATTCATTTATTTGTCATCCACTTGCCAATTTCACATTACTAAATCTAGCAGAGTTTTTATATTACGTTTTCAGAAAGTAATATAACTACCCAAGTCAAACCAATTTTCTCTTTTGTTTTACATAGGGTTTTGCCATCTACAACTGCCCCCTTCGCTGTACGCACCTGGTTACCCATTTGATACAGAAAATGTGAATTTCCCACTCACTGGGTTGTGTTTTGTTGGCCTGATTTCTATGATTGATCCACCTCGGTCCAGTGTACCAGATGCTGTCATGAAGTGTCGAAGCTCTGGTATCAAGGTTTGTGTCCTTAGACTTTTAGCTAATATACTGCATTAAAAATAACGGCTTACAGTGAAGCAGCTTTGAGTAAAGCTTTCCAAAAGGCTTTTTCTTATTTAAAGAATAATTATTGAGCTTTTTTTTATACAGGAGAGGTACATAGTTACACCTTGCTTAGTGGTTGATTATATATTACTTTTTACTCTAGGTTATTATGGTGACTGGAGACCATCCAATTACAGCAAAAGCTATTGCGCGGAGTGTGGGCATCATCTCAAGTGAAAGCGAGACAGCAGAAGACATTGCAGAGAGACTACAGGTTCCAATTACAAGCGTTAACCGCAGGTCAGTTGCCCCTTGCCACTGCTACGTATCTCTTCCTATTCCATACACCCATTGTCCTTGCTATCTGAGTGTTGGCTTTGAATTCTTACTTATCTTTTTATTCAGTTTAGTTTTTATTACGCTTTTAAATATGTACAGCAAAAAAATTATAAAAAGAAAGAGACAAGTAAATAAAATTAAAATGATAACGTTTTACAAGAGAGAGATAAAAACAAAGAATGTAAAAGAGAAGGGAAATAGGTAAGTGATCTGAAGGGTACACAGCACATTAAACTAAATAGATTTTTTTAGTTTTATACAGTTCCTTGAAGAATCAAATTTTAACATTGTTACACGAAATAAGTCTACTTAATTTTTACATTAATCATTCCGTAACAAAAACTAAATCTATATTATAATACACTTGTTTCATAAGATACCAGGAAACTCAAACTAGGCTTGTTAGAGCCATTGGTTTATTTCAAAATTATTGGCTAAAACAGACAGATTTTCTAAAACGTATGCAAAGTATAATTTTTTTAAATTTACATATATTTCATCTATGTTTCCATGATACCTTTTGTTCTGCATGTAATCCTTTCTTCACCTCCATATTCCCCCCACACACACCCTTATCAATTCACGAATTGTCTTTAACAGGGATGTTCGGGCAATTGTGGTGAACGGTGCCGAGATAATTGATATGAACTCAGCAGAACTAGATGAAATCCTACGACACCATCAGGAAATTGTGTTTGCAAGAACTTCACCACAGCAGAAACTGCTTATTGTTGAGGGCTGTCAAAGGCTGGTAAGGAAGAAAAAAAAAAAGAGCATGTACAGGGTATAAAGAAAGAGTAACTTGTAGTGAAATATTCAGTGAAAGATATAATTACTTGTTTTTATGCTGCCACTAGTTATAACTTCTATGTACAGGGTATAAAGAAAGAGTAACTTGTAGTGAAATATTCAGTGAAAGATATAATTACTTGTTTTTATGAGGAATGAAAATTTTTTTATGATGATCTCTTTAGAACTGTTAAAGAAATATAGAGATACTATGTTTAGGAGGAGAACCGAGGATAAGAAACTTGGAAAACAGAGGTTAGTTAGTGTTGCAAAATGATATGTATTGAAACAAGTGTCGTTAGAGGAGGAAAGATTGGAAAGAAAATGTTTTGAGATGTCCAGAGACAATGAGTGCCATTCTATCTCCACAGGGGGCGATTGTGGCTGTTACGGGAGATGGAGTGAATGATTCTCCAGCTCTGAAGAAAGCGGATATTGGAGTAGCGATGGGGATAGCTGGATCAGATGCAGCAAAACACGCTGCTGATATGATATTGCTTGATGATAACTTTGCTTCGATTGTCACAGGAGTAGAAGAAGGTAAGTGCACAATTTGAATTGTTAGTCACGCATGCTGCCACTAGTTATACCTTCTAGAATACCTTTAGCAAAATTCCAATGTACGCAGGTCTCGGTACATTACTTATTACTCGTAATAAGAAAAAACAGGGACTAGATCAGATTAACAAATACATAGCAAACTGTAAGCGTGCTGGATTGTACCATATACTAATTTAGGCCTCATTTTAATAAGCTATTTCAAATCATTCAATACCATTAGTAAAACGTTCCAATTTATTTATCTTCAAAAATTCCTATAGATTTTAATGGTGACATCTCAAGATAAATCATTTGGGAAGTTTTTCTAACAGTATTGAATCATTTGAAAAGCTTATTAAATCAAAGCCATAATCAGAGACATGTCCTGACCTGGGATAAACTGTACATTTTATTCAACTATATACACTCACAATAGCTCCACCCATTATCCAGGCTTCTCACACACTTATATATAATGACCGATATTACAACTCAAACAACAATCACTGTAACCTGCTTTTAAATGGAATAGGTCTCTTTTCCAAAAAGATCAAACCTTAATATGCTATGAATCCTATGTAGTAGACAGAATCATTTCTCTATAGTATACATGTTCCAGTACACAGACTACTATTTTTCATGCCATCCCATAATTGTCTAATATTACTCTCTCAATTATCTTCTTAATATGTTCCATGTATTTTGTTTTCTCCTGTAGTTTACTTATTTCTACCTTACACTTTCTTTCATCCCTCACTAGTTCGTTAATAGTCCTTTATCTTTTTTTTTTTCTTTGCAGGTCGCCTGATATTTGATAACTTGAAGAAGTCGATTGGATACACAGTGACAAAGAATATCCCAGAGATGATTCCTTTTATGGTGTATGTGATCATCAGCTGTCCCCTGCCCCTCGGTACCATCACCATCCTTTTCATAGAGCTGGGTACTGATATCGTAAGTATCCAGGGAAAGACAATGTATCATGACAGATAAAATGGCTGGAATGAAAACAAACTGTGTAGGATATAAGTGACTACTATAGATACCTCAGTAAGAGCATATGAACCACAGTTAAGATTAAATCCTAGCTCCTCTGATCAAGAAAACATGGTTTCAGCTTTGCAAATTATAGAACTTTATGGGTTCTGCTTCATTGCATATTGTCCAGACCTTACATACCATAAGCCTTTAAGAGGACATGTATGTCTACAATGGACAGAGTGCCACAGAGTACATTTAATGCAACTCATACGATATATGTGTCCATCCAGCATAATGAAACACCAAAAGGTTTGGGCACCCTACACAAGACTTGGCAATTTCTAATCCATACCAACTGCAATAGATTTGCAGCCAAGTAACCAAAATATTACAACTACCATACCACTGTGTCATTAAACTGATGTGCAGTAACCCCTAACTGCAAGGATTATTACACAGAGTTACCTACCATATATTGACTCTGGATTGGTTGGAGGCATGTTCTAGAAGTGAACTTTTCACAAATATCAAATATGTCCAGAATATGTATAACTGGCTTCAAAATTCTACTACCTCAAAAAATGTTTAGTTTCTGTTCCATCTTATTATCATGTATTCTGTTCCATTTTATTATCTACTTTACCCATTTCTCCTCATTCTCACTATTTCTGTTTTCTTTTATTAACGCAATCTCTAAAATTGTCATCATTTTTTTACAGATCCCCTCCATTGCGTTGGCATATGAAAAAGCAGAGAGTGATATTATGACACGAAAACCACGTAATCCTCGGAAAGATCGTCTGGTGAATCAGCAGTTGCTGTCATATTCGTATTTCCACATAGGTGAGACAAACTACCGCACCAAGACCATTAATAATATACCATGCACATTTCCACTATACAAGCAAGAGCCGTGTATAAGGGGAACATAGGGAAATAGCGCCTTCAATAATATCCTCAAAACCTATTAAGTATAGGATATTATGCAACGATAAAAAGACAATAAAACGAAATATAGTGCAGTATTTTTGTTGCTGGTGATATTGAATAAGAAGAAAAAAGTGCACTTACAATTTTCTCGAGCTTTAGCTCCAGATATATTCCCTTGGACGGTATAATCCCTGCCTGTGGATATGCTGATCCAGTTCCTGGTCTCATGTTGGAGGATAAACTTGGTATTAAGGGTGTTTGAATAAACTATTTTAACTGTACATATTATTAAACGTTAAGTTTTAACAACATCTATTTACAAGGACTCCTGACAGGGATGAAATGACCTTACCCTAACTAAATCTTGATTTGGTTCGCTTATGTATTGATTCGATTATAAGGGATTATCCCCCACACAGGAGTTTATATTTCTATTGGAGGATATCCTCAGGGCCGTCAGCGGTGAGCAGTGGTCAGTGGCTGCTTGAAGTGTTCTCTTTCAATATGTTGTATTTTGCCAGTGAGAGTACACCAGCAAATAAAATAAAAATAAAAACAGAAAATAGTGCTCTCTATATGGATAAAACAGTGATAAAAGAAAAAAAGGCGATATACTCACAAAAGGAGAGCAAAGTAACGTTTTAATTAATCATATAATGCTTAGATGGTATCTTCCCCACCTAGGAAACTGAAGTATGGAATCCTTCGAAGAAAATCTTCAAGGATAAAATTAATAAAGTCCACATAAAGTAAAAACTAGTTTTATTAGAAAACAAATAATAAAATCCATAATATAATGTAAAACACTAATAAACACTAACGCATTTTGCTCACAATAAGCCTTTCTCAAATTGTTCTGTCTCATTTATTCAAGCAAGAGCCATGTCTTCCCTTTACCTGAATGTTCTACGAATCACAATTTAAAAACGGGAATGATACTCAATACACAATCCAACAATTAAAACACAAACTAGTGTCAGGGTTCATTCATGTAGCTAGAAAATGGTGTTCTTCATAATTATGTATCATGTTTTCTTGTTTCTGCTAGGATGCTCTTGTGAATTAAACCATATATTTGCATAACCAGAAGACTTTGTAACTCTTTCTTTCTCCTTAGCTGCTATGGAAGGCTTTGGTGGCTTTGTGAATTACTTTACCGTAATGGCTCAACAAGGCTTCCGTCCAATAACATTGTTGGGACTAAGAGCAGACTGGGAAGACAAGACCAATAATGAGTTGGATGACAGTTACGGACAGGAATGGGTGAGGGATATAAGAGATCTATTCCAAAACATCTGAATAATTTTAGATTCCCCAATATATGTGATAGGAAATGACACATTAGAAAGTGTTCAGGTCACAGAAACGTTTAATAAATGTTTAGTAAAATAATTTTGTTAAAATAATGTAAGAGCCAGGGGGTGTCAACATACATCGATTTTGGTACATCTCCTCTTATGTATATATACATTTTCAGCTTAGAAACGTGCAGCATCAAAGACGAATTCCAATGGAGATGATTTAAGGGAACCTTCTATATGTACAGAAAACTTACTAAATATAAGCAGAGAAATACATCATACTGAGGAATGTCAGTTTGCTTTGTGTAATCAACAGGGTCCTAGTGTTCAAGTGGCAGCCCATTTTGAGTCCACCTGGTTGAAAAATAGTTTAGAATTCTGATTCACTAACGGTCAGTGGAAAGGAACACTTGTAAAGTAATGGGCACAAAGGGCAAAATCTTTAGTTGGAATTATGGCACAGCATCAGCAAGAACTAAAGGTCAATTTTATTTTGTAAGAGTTAGTCTGCAAAATATCTATCTCCGCCTACAGACTGTGGGGATATTTATGGGATAATAATAGTAACAGTGAGAATTGCCCACTAATTCAATTCTCAGATCCCAAATATCGTTATCGTGTTAAGTGAGAAGTATTTCATATAATAATATCACAATTTTTGTTATAAAAATAGATTTATTTATAATAACAAATTAATTAATAATAATATGTAACATGCGTGACAATAATCAATGAATATCCAGTATAAAATGGTATGCAATACAAAGTAATGGCTATACACATTTCAAAGGCTAAACAGCATTTTCTGTCAAGTCTTCTGATTTATGAGGTATCTTTAACACAGACCGAAAGTGAAACTTTTCACAGCGAAGGGCCATAAAACCCTGGCTAACAGTTAGAATAACCCTTTCAATGCTGGCTAGATCTCCTAGGTAATTAAGATCTATTCTTATGTAATTTTAAATAAAATAACATTTAAACCAGTTCATTAGTCATTTCCTGGAACCATCCAATAAGAGAGTCTACCATATTATATAAGCAGATTTTAATTTGTCTAAAAGATATCTTATCTTAATTTAGAGCAAATCAATATACCTGGATAAAAACAACGGTATGCTAACACGTGATACTATCACATCAATATATAATTATTCTTAATTCCACCTGCAGAATGGAATGTTTATAACTATATATTCTTTAGTTAACTAAGATTTCTTAATATGGAAATCTGACCGTGCTTTATCCTAGTCATATATCATGCTATTAATACATTTTAATTAATTAATTTAATTAATTAAATGAAACCAGTATAATTACCAGTTGAGTAGATATTTCATCTGATTGGTAGATAGTCTCAGGAACTTATTTGGATGTCTGTCTGCATTGAGTTATGGTGAAAGGTGGTGTTGGTTAGAAAGTCAGTGAAATTCTAAGTGTTAGAGTTTTAAGAGTAGAGTGTTAGTCTCAGATGTTGTCCTGGGTTTCTCTGCATGTCCGAGTTGGAGTCCCAAACTTCCAATTCCTCTCTCCTCTTTTTCCTTTCCTTTGCATCCCCATCTTCCCTTTGTCCTAACTTTTAAAGGGCCAGACTCTCTGTACGTCATCAGTTGATAACCCAATAGAAGCACTAGAGGTGTGGTTATCTACTAGATCGCAATTTAGGTATTTGGTCTATAGAGGGCAGTCTTGTCCCACTAAACATACCTATCCAGGAAAGAGTTAACTTTTCCTGGTGGCTATTTTGACGTCATTTTGCGTTATCTTTATAGTGCCATAATTTAAAATTTCAAAGGGTTTTCTCTTAGTTTTGTCCAGACTATGTGTCTGGCAAATCTGAGTTTTGACCCATAACTTACAATGGGACCTTATACATATAGACAGTCTATCCAACCCCGTTCTTCTTATCACTTGGTTTGTATATAGTATGCATTCCTTTAGCTCTGGCAAAGTGGTTAGTTTTACAGAAAGAAATCTTGTGTCTTTTTGTTAACTTGAAAATAACAAAATGGAGTCTGCTCTGTTCAGAGTGACTCAGAATATACACTTTTAATTTCTATCATAGCACAAAATGTCTGCCGATATAAATACCCTGACAAGACTCTCATGTTAGCAAATTAACCTGGGCAGCAGGGGTTTCAGACATAATGGAGTTTTTACCTATAATCATATGTATATGTCTATAATTGAATAAATATGAATAGAGAGAAAGACAAACCTAAATAATAAACAGATGCAATGGTTCTTTTTCCTACAGACATTCATACAGCGCCAGTCTCAAGAGTGGTACTGTTACACGGCCTTTTTTATCAGCATTGTGGTTTGTCAGATGGTGAACACTTTAATTCGCAAAACACGAAGGACCAGCATCATATCCACCAGATTCTTCAGGTAACAGAGAGGCCAGGCATTCAATACATGATTTAGAGGGTTTAAAATACATCAACTTGTTAGATATTATGATTTTGATCACTAGGAACTGAATTACAATTATGAAAATGACCAATATATCATGATTGTTTTAAAAATGGGTGGAACACAGTTATAACTTAACATATCTAATCAATTTTTTTCAATAGGAACCATTTTTCTAACGGTCAGATTGGAACTTGTGGTTCTAAAGAGATATTTCGGAATATGCGTGGTTTAATTCTGACCTTAATTTATTCAAAATATGCAAAGTGTTTGATATACTTGACGCTATAGTAAAGTGCAGCTATTCACACTGTGGAACCAATCACATGCAATTCCACCGAATAATTTATTCAGCCCAAGACCTTTCAAAAAATAGCAAAGCATTCAAGGGATTGCAACCAACAACAACAAATGTGTATTTATTTTTTTAAATAAAACAATTACAGATGGATTTATGCTAAGATCTCTTGGAATGCACAAGAGAAAAGATTGGTAACTATTCCCATTTGAACTATTGTTGGCCATGATGCTCTAACGGATAGGATTCCCTTTAGGTTTGACAACACTAGAAAGCTGGAGGTTTTGACCACAAATGGAATGCCCCAATTTGTATGGTTTTGTATGGATTTAAATGCAATTTACATTTATATTTTTTTTTCTCCTTGTCACACAGAAATAAAGTCATCTTCATTGGCGTAGCATCGCAAGTCGTTATAGGGGCCTTCCTATGTTATTGTCCGGGGATGGATGTTGCTCTGCATTTTATGCCCCTTCGGTGAGTTTTTCAAAGGAAGTTAGCTCAGTAAGCGACTAGAAGTTCTTTAATGCCTATGATTTCTTCTCTGTCTCTTTTCTCTTGAATATCTTAAGCCATATCTTAATATTATTGCCATATGTTGCAGTTGCACATACTCAAAACAGGCATATTTCTAAGCCTGAACATACCAGTCAAAGTTAATTACCAATGTGTGAGTTGACAAGAAGTGGATTTCAGATTTGATATCACAATATCCAAATTGAAAACACAGTTGTTTTATTGCCAAATTGGTAATTGTGGTCTAAACTTTGAAATTCCTATTTAATTCACTTTGAATTGATGAGACATCACACTTTTCATGTGCTCTCCCATCCATATATGTATCTTCATCCACTGTCTCTGCAGTGGAGCTACAAATTATTTTATGAGTATTTCCTGAGCCCTGATCCCTGGGTTAGGTTAATAAATAATTTAACTAAAACCACAAGGAATGTCAACCTAGGCAGAACCATTCAGCAACAGATCATCAGAGTCTCATATGGTCAAGATGCATAACACCATATTAAGGTGTTTGGGGACCTTGCAAATTCTTCCAAGTACAGCGCACCACAGACTTAACATTGAAGTCTGTGTTGGCTGAACTGCAGATAGATTTAGATAAGTCTAATGAAGATGCACCCAAATATTGGATATATGTCAGTAAAACATGAACCTGTTAGTCACCTCAAAACTTTTAGAATAGATCTTAGTTAGTCTCACTCTCATGACTAATGAAGTAGGTATTCACCACATTTTGGATACTAAGCATCGAATAAGTCTATAGAATATCTATAGAATATCATCAGTGCTTATTATTTATCCATATCTGTAGCATCCAACCGATACCATATCCCTTAAAAAAACAGTCATCCGGTTGTCTATTAGGATGCACACTTGGTCAGTTTTATTTTCCTCTCACGTTTTTCTCCAGATATCCAGTTGTATCTGAAACAATCAATATCTCCTACTCTCTTTGCAGAATTGAATACTGGTTTGTGAGCATACACTATGCACTTCTCATTTTTGTCTATGATGAAATAAGGAAACTTCTGATCCGAACATTCCCCAACAGTAAGTTTTTCTCAATGTGCTAAAGTAGCATTGTCATACAAATACACATCACACCTCCAGATTTATTAAACAATGATAGAGAGCAATACAGCATCTCCCACAGTTTGCATAGACTTACACAAAACCCTAGAGTGCCCCATAATGTCCAGTATATTTCCACAGTCAAGTCCTGGGTCTTTCAAACCCAAAATATCCTAAACACCAAAGATCCTTCTCAATTACCATCTCATGTCCAAATTTCTACATTTACATATCACACAAAATTCAGCTAGTAAACTCAATTTCTATATGTTGAAGTCCAACAGAACTCTGTAGTTAGGCTGCTTGCCCCTCTTTGAGGTATCTTAGAATTAAATTTTCTGTTTCCAACATGCTGAACAGCACCCATATACTTGTCCCACCTCTTAGCGCTATACAGCACTGCCCTGTGCTGCTATCACATCTGGTTGACTTGTTAGGACATTCAGTTCCAAAGCATTGTTATCAGCATAAACAAACCTCACTTTTTATAGAAAAAAAGTTTGTTAGCAGCTCTGTACGTCAAGGATAGATAACCATTGCAAGCTTGATGTTTGTCTATTATAACAGTAAGATGGTGATTCACTACAATTACAAATAGTTGGGAATACAACTTAAATTCAGAATGAAGTTTACATTTTTAGAGTAAAATTGTTGAACCGAAAATATACGACCATTTTTCCAATTTCATCTAATTTGGACTAAAATTTTCAATTCTCTTTGAGATCCCAACAATTCACACTCTGATATAGAATAACACCCTGATTTCAGATGTGCTCACAAGAAAGCAAGATAGTTTTGTGAAATAGATCTCTGTATGTCTTTACGATTGTTTGCATGGGAATTTATTTATTTAAAAATATATCATTCTAATTGTATTTACCACTCGCTGCATAGTGGTATTTTAATGCATGTTGTTTTCTGCAGGTTGGGTGGACCGTGAGCTTTACTATTAAAAGCTGTTTTCACCGGGAAGGACCCACAGCCAGAAAATACTCCTCAAAGGAGAATTACCGAGAGTCCTCCTGTCTTCCTATGTAAATTTTGTGTTACTGTATTTAAATATCTATTTTTTTACAAAAAAATAAACAACCAAAAAATTTAATATAATTTTATAGCATTCTTATATCAAAATTGTGTATATGTTATAATAGGGCACGTTGACACTACACAACTGTGTAATGATGTACCTGGGCTCGATCATATAGTGCAGCGGTATTAATACATATCTGGCCTTATTCTGGGTAACAATTATGTAAGGCTCAATATTTCAGATCCTATCCTACTAGCCAGGCTTTAAAAGTATTCTAAATTGCATAGATTCACCTACTGCATGATCATCTCTAGGAATTGCATCTCTAGGAATGGACTGGGTAGAAGAATATAAAGTGTAACATGATCTCTAATTTAAAAAGTAAGTGAAGTTAGGGAGCAACACATTATCATCTTACCTGTGATAAACACTTATATTTTCTAGTGTTGATATATCTACATGAATGTGGATGAGAGAGGAACTTACTTGTGATCTCTCTTATCTTTCTGGGTAGCCAGTACTCCTTGCACAATGCCCAAGTTAATCTAAGGCTCTGGCTGAAAGGCAGTTTTATACATCACTCTAAACTCCGTTCACGAAGGTTATTGTGCTAAAACCTGCAAGGGAAGCGTCTCCTTTTGGGATACAAATGCTTCCCTGGTTGATGTTCACCTATATGAAATGGCAGCCACCCAGAGGAGCACTCATTATTACTTCCCTTGGGGTTTCACACTTATGTTGCCAGTGCGAGGTTGCGGTTTCACACTTATGTTGCAAGTGCGAATGTTCTGATTAATTGGTGGGAACGTTTGAGAGGTGCTCGTTTGGAACAAGAACGAGTCGGGAAGCAATCCATGAATGCTCCCCCTGGCTGGTGTTCATCTATACGACATGGTGGCCACCCAGGGGAGCGCTCATTAACCGCCTCCCTTGCAGTTCACACCTATGATGCAAGTGCGCACGTTCTATTTGAAGTTCTGACAAGCGTTCTAAATGGGATATCGGGGTAGTCCCCGTTCGGGAGACGAAGGAGTTCCTTTTGGAGGAGCGCTCCCGGACAAGGAGCGGGGTACAATATACAAAGGCTAGGGGAAAACACACAGTACAAGTAAAAAAACACCTGACCAAGCATGGTTCTGCCACACCGTGATATGCAGTTACAGGCACCAGGCAGGAAGTTTTCTTACTATTTTGGTTTTGCCATGAGGTACGGGCAGGGCTTCCTTAAGGGGACTGGTGCCGGGCAGTAAGTGTAGCTCTGACTGGTACATGGCTGGACTAGCCCACCGTAAAGTTTCACAGAGGGCAGCCATAGCTGGGGTGAAGCGACTGCTGCTTACTGGTGGCTTATAGGGGAGTATGAGGAAAGGCTGCTTTTTGCGATGCACAGGGCTGAATGCTCCTGGGATACAGTGTGATGTCATATTCCAGCGACTGACATGCTGTACAAGAGATGTGTAGTTTGTGTGTATATGGGTAAGTGAGTGTGTGTTAATGGATTTGTCTATCAGTGTGCAATGTGTTTGTGTATGGGTCAGTGTGTCAGTGTATTTGTGTTTGTATTAGAAAGTATATCACAATCCCATGATCACATTCACACACAGCCAGCACAGTGCAGGCATTATTTAGATTTCTACATAGTCAGAGTAAGCTCTGCAAGCTGTGGCAATCAATGTAACTGGTCACTAGATGGTGATAATTGGTTTAGGGAAATTATATTTCTGTTAAACTGGTCTTATCGAAATATGTACATGGAAAAGTTCACCTGCAAGAAGTTCAAGTAATCTCTATATTGTGACAGCAAAAAAAAAAAAAAAACAACAGAAAAATGGATTAAAACATATTTACACTTCCTCTACCTCTTTAAGGTTAATGTTAGGACAGGTACCCCCCTGCACATGAGTTACAGAACAACCAACATCAGAACAAAAAAAAGATGCAGTACTGACAGGGCCGGATTAACATAGGGGCTGATGGAGCTGCAGCTCCAGGCCCAGGCCCATGGAATAGGCCCATTGATTTAAAAAAAAAAAATGTGTTTTACATTTTTTCACACACACTACTCTTGAGGGATTCCACCCTGGCTTTTTGTTATTTTGTGGCACAGCCAGTATTTGAGAGCTGCCTGGCTGGGTGCCAATGTGCAGGAAATGTGATATTGGCAATACAAATGCTGGTATTTTTTTACTCAGTATAAACAAGAGATTACTGCAATACCAGCACTGGCCAGTATGGAGTGCGGCTACTGTGTGTGTGGAGAGAAACCCACACCTATCTATACTCACTGATCTGCAGGGAATTCTGCTTCTAGAGAAGTCAGATTTTAACTCCCTATACGGGGAACAGCCTACAGCTCAGGGAAGTAAAAAGGGGATGATGGGGGAAAGGTTGCAAGGAGACATGGGACAATGAGACACTAAAGAGGACACTGGGAGACATTATGGCAGACACTGGGGTACTAAGGGACACTGGGAGACATTATGGCAGACACTGAGACAC